ATTTGTAATATTTTATTTTATGTGTATGAATGCATTGCCTGCATGTGTGTAAGTGCACCATGTTGTGAAAAGCCTGCGGAGGTCAGAAGAGAACATTAGATTCCCTGGAACTGGAGTTTTGGACAGTTGTTAGCTGGCATGTAGGTGTGAACCTGGGTCCTCTGCAAGAGCAGCCAGTGCTCTTAACCTCTGAACCATTTCTCAAGTCCCCCTCTTATGTTTTATATTTATTTTCCTATGATAAGTATCTAATGATTAAATTTCAAAAAAAAAGTCAAATGCCTCAAGGAGTCATTCTTCAGCTCCCTGTGGTATAATACAAGATGTGGCACCCATCTAAGGGTGCTAATAGTGACAAGGGTTTTAGTGAAATGGCATTTATTTTTAGAAGACACAGGCAAGACTGAGTCACCCATCATGTTTTAGGGGAAAGGATGAAATAAGAAACCCCAAAGGAACAGGTGAAGATTTGCTAGGCAGATTTCTGTCTTGTGCTCAAAGATTTTTGGGTCAAGATATGTGTATGTGGATGAGCTCAGATGGAACTTTCCAGAGCTCTAGAGGAGCTGAATTTAGCAGTGAGCTAAGGCTCTGGGCTACTTAGCAAGTCACCCAGCAGAGAATGGCTAGTGTATCCTGGCACTGTGTATATTTAAAAGTTGTCCAGAAAGCACACTGTGTTCCTAGAGCATGCTGGGCTTGCCTGTCTCCAACTGGCTGGGTAATGACAAGCACTTCCCTGAAGTACCACTGGCTGGTAATGGCCTTGGAGCCTTAGCGAATCACAGCTCATGGATGCATAGTTGCTGTTTGCTTTTAGAAACCACAGTTAGCTTTCCTCTGTGCTGCACTGGGCACATGGCTCTTTCTTGTCACCTGTGCATAGCCAGATACTGTTAGGAGGAGGCTGAGATAGCAGTGTCCAAGAATGGTGTGTGTGTGTGTGTGGGGGGGGCATGGACGGATGGAGCCATTTAACTCAGGTTCACAGTTTGATGAATGACCTGCTCAGCCCCAACCTTGGGTGATGTAAAAGGCAGAGTACAGGCTTGGGAGATAGATATATCAGGTTCTTAATCCTCTTTCTGCCGTGTGTTGTGGTACTTTATATACAAGGGGAAGTTATTCTGCCCCTTTCACCTATAATTTCCCCATCTGCAGAATGGACACAGCACAGAATTCCTCCTAGATTTATGGTGAGGATAAAGACACATAACGTGTGAAAGTAATAGACTGCTGTGTGTCAGGTGCTTAACATGCCTTTCTCTCTGGTCAGTGTCCAAGTTTGTGGCTGACAATTAGTATCAGTCAAGAATTCATAAAGCTGTTTTCTATAAAGGGACAGATAATAAGCACTTTGTGTTCTGTGGGACAAGGAGGTAAAACCGAGGATACTGTGCCTGTACGTGACAGAGAAAACACTGCCAACTTTCACTGACGAAATTAAGAGTATGTTCATAAAAGTGATGTACAATTTTCTTTTACTAGCAACCCACTAATAAAATGAATTTTTGGGTGGGGGTGGGGGAGAGGAGGATTTTCTCCACAGGCAAATCCCTACTGTAGGACATTTATTTCACTTAATTAAGGTTCTAAGTGAGGATTCCTTGTCTTCAAATTGATGACCAGCATTCTCTGTACAACCCTTTCTTAACTTGTAGGACATCCAAAATCAAATAGTAGGCTGAGTTTTCTCCACAGGCAAATCCCTACTGTAGGACACTTATTACTAATGCCAATCTCTGTACTCTGACCCTCGTTATTAATGATGAGTAAATAATTTGAAATCATAATTGATCATAAACAAGTCTGAAAGGGCTGTCCTCTGGAGAGGAAGCCGAGATGATTAAATCTTTTAACAAACCGAGAAACTGTCAGAGTGCTTAGACTTTTAAAATCAAATGATTCTTTAAAGAATATCCTCCTTTGTGACCGAAATCTGGAAAACAGTGGGAAGAAATATCAGGCCACACATCCTGACCACCTACAAAGTGAGATCAAGCAGGAAATAATTTTAAAAGCAGACGGTTACTTCAACAGATTCTTTCTGCTTTACAAACAGACATGCCTGTTTTCATTGATGATGGAGCGAATGCAGGGATTAACATTTGGCACATAAATATCAGAGTACCTTCCTGTTAGCCTCCCAAAGACTTGGATGGACAGATTTGGATTTATATAGTTACATGACTGGCCAATGCTTGGGTGAAAACAAGACCATTAAAATATTGAAGAATAGGCTTTCCACAAAGCAAGGCCATCTTAGTGGAGCGTTACATGCAGTGAAAATTAACCAATGGAATGGAGGAGCTCTGAAAGGCTGTTAAAGTAAAGCGATGTGATAAGACATCTATATCAACTGATGTACCAAGAAAGGGAAGTCTGTTTCTGAATATATAACAGCTATGGACAAAGGTTGAAACAGAAGGGTCAAGAAGGGACCAAGGTGTATTAGAAACGCTCCAAGCACAAGCACTAGCTCTTTACTCTTTGTGTGAAAGAAAGAAACGAGTCCACTATAGCAGGAGTTTTGAAACTGAAAGACTGCAGTTGTGTCAGTGATGCTAAAGGGTTTTTAGGACAATAATTTAAAAATTTCAAGGTATTTAAAATGGAACAATGCTTACAGCTTCTTGTAACTGACTCCTTCCTGGAAAAAATGCCACTTTTGAGGCAGAAATATTTGAAAATGTGTTGCTTTAGCTAAGGAGGACTTAGTAAATGAACTTTGGTGATAGGTTTAAGAAATAACCTGGTGCAAGCACACATTTTCTCCACTTACGTGTCAAGAGAACACAGAACAAATGCATCTGCTTATTTTTAATTAATACTCTGGAATAAAACACAGCATTTATATACGGATAAAAACAAAAAGGAAAATTGAAGTACTTTCAAGCAAAATTTATTAGGTATCTACTCAAGTAAAACACAATGAATGACCTCTGTAAGAATTCAAAGTCAATTACCTGAAAGCCAGGTGTGAATATTTTTTTCCTTTTAAAATCAGATACAGAGAATAGAAACAGCAATTTTTCTTAAATGTAACAGGCAACAGAGTTGAAGTTTTGTTTCATAGATGGCGTGTAAAAGAATTATTCATTTATCAGTAAAGCTTCATGCAGTTGACTTATTTTCCGATCCAAAGCTTTTCTAATATAAAGCTGGTTGTGAACTGGATAGTAAAGTGGGTTTCTCAAAGGTGTTTCTTTACCCTTTTCTCCTAATGAAGTTCCTCTGAAATCAGTATTTATGTACATTTTCATTTGACTGCTAAGATCTTTTAAATTTATAAAATTTTGCATAAATGCTATCTTACAGAATCACACTAGAAGGGGTGCTTGTGATCTGTAAAGATTATGTAAAGAGTAATTTGCTGAAAGGGTTTTACCTTAGTTTAAGTGCAGGATAAAGATCAAATTAGAATATTCCCCTGTTTTCAGAACAAGTAAATGGTCTGTACAAAAAAAAAAGAACAAACATATGTACAAAATTTTAGTCTATGTATTGTGTAAAGACCAACCACTGTCTACAGAAGAAAAGCCATAAAAAGTTTATCTATAAGGTGCTCAAGATCCAAAGATGAACAGTTTTAATGCAAATTCATATGAAATACAAAGCTAGTATGTGTAGCACAGGCACTGTGAACTCTATTAAATCCTTCAGGTTCAAAATCATTCAGTACATTTCTGTTTCAGGGCAGGGAAGAGAACCTGAGTGATTTAACCATTATTTCTAAAAGCGCCTAATTTATTCCTAGGAAATATTTTACACACACCAGGAAAATCAGGCTTAACATATTCCTGTCTGCAAATGTAGTCAGGACTCTGGATTCCATAGAAGAAAAATAATTATTATAATAAAAATAATTGTATTGATCATAATCCTTGCTAAAACCAGCCTTAATACCTGTGATGCTTCTGAAGTACTCTATTTCTATAAAATAATATGTGGGATTCTTTTACAGTTCCATAAAATGTACACCATATCGTGTGAACTATATGCTCCTGTACAGTCTCTAGCACGTGTGTGTGTACACGCGGTGAGACCTACCCACTAATATTGCTTACAGATACTTTCAAGTGTCTATGTTTGAATAGCTCTTTGCGTCTCTCACTAACACTGCTTTTATTTAGATTTTAACAAATAAAACACTAAGAGCTCACTGTTCATGATGTTGATTACATTTTAATATAAAATAGCAATGCAAATTTACAACACAATAGTTTATTTTTCCTGTAATGTGGCTAAACCTCTTGTATCCTCATGATAGTTACCAATAGCTCTTAATCACTCACTGTTTGCACTTCTAAGAAGTACAGAAAAAATGGGCAGGAAAAGACTCCTATCTGAAAACTTACATTCAATCAACAAAATCACATCCATCGGAATGAACTTTCCTACTCTCACTTTAGATTGTATAATCACTGTGCATATCACAACATACAATAAGTGCAGGCAAACAATAGCTGAAGTATAGTTGTCATAGAGCGTAAACCAGGGCACTAGGCAAACTTGTGAAAATGCAAACAGTTGCACTTCAGAATTAACAATCTTTTGATTGCCCAAGGAAAGAGCACCTTCCAGAGAGGTGAAGACAGCCATGAGACCAGACAGCCTTTTGGAGTCTTTTCTCTCTCTCCTTTATCTCTTTCTTTCTCTTTCTTTCTTTCTTTCTTTCTTTCTTTCTTTCTTTCTTATTTTAACTTACATTTTAAGATCAGTTACACCATGTCATGGCTTGAAGAGTATAGCAACATGTGTATGAGCCAATTAATTACTTTGTGTATGCAGTCAGGAATCAGAAAGTCATAAATGATTAA